AGGGGGGGATATATAGGAATAACAAGGACCTGGTAAGAAATACTTGACCGTAATATGTAAAGAAAAGATAGAGGGTTGAAAAAAAAAAGATAAACATATAAAACATAAAAATAAAAAAAACAAAAATATACTATAATCTGCGTACAAATAATAAACTTAAGAAGGGGGGGGGGGGCGGGGGCGTACCTGAGCAGAGACCTGGCTGCCTTCGACTGGCTGCACAGGTTGGAGTTGTTGAACCGCCACGAACAGTCTGAGAGGGTGGGCTCGTCTCCCTGGCACGAGTAGTACATCCGGCCCGGCAGGGAGTGGGGCAGCCCCCTGGGTATTTCGGCCACGGTGCCACAGCCCAAGGCCCGGCAGAGCACCTGGGCCTCCGATGTGTACCACTCGCTGTCGCACACCGTGTTCCAGACCCCACGGAAGTGCACCTCCACCTGCCCCTCACAGCGGTCGGTGCCCCCCGTCAGGTGCAAGGTCTGGTGCTCTGTGGGGAGCGAGAGGGGGGAGAGAGAGTCAGGTCAGGATCCTTTAGGCCCAAAGCCCCACCAGCCCAGACCCACAACCGAAACAGCCCACGGCCGGTCAGTCTCCACGCGCGTGCTCTCCCTCCAGCGTCTGCAAGCCCCTCTCCTCTGCCCCGTCTGCTCTAGCTCCTACGTCTTTGTTACTCAAAGTGTGGTCCATGGACCAGTAGCATCAGCGTCACCTGGATTGTAATGGGCAATGAATATGCTCTACTTCTATCATCTTAGTACACGTTAAGCCCAGCTGGTGACTCTAACCTGACTTTTCTATCAACACTGGAGTCTGCATGTTAAAGTTTTTTCAGTATCGTTTACAGATCAGCAGTGTCGGTTCCTGCAGGAACCTAAGGAGCAACTGACCTCAGGGCCTCAGAAAACCAGATGGCCACTCGAGGACGCTGACCATGAACATCCATACTGGGACCAGCAGGGACACTGCCTGCCTGTCCACAGCCCCCCCCCCACCCCCCGCTCCTGCTTTCCCTCTGCCCACACTAAGATGTTAAGATGGGCTTTGGGACAAGAGTCCCCCATCTTCTCAGGTGGCCGGCACTTGAATAAACCTATTTCCTTCTCACCAGCACCTGTCTTGCGAGTTTGGCTTTTGTGGAAACAGGCAGCTGAGCCTGGGTTTGGTTACAGGATCTTGTGAAAAATGCAGAATCTCAGGTCGTGTCCCAGAACCACGGAATCAGAATCTACATTTAACGAGACCCTCCTTCCCCCCAGTTCCTGTGCACATTATAGAGAAGCATTGGCTGGACCAGAACTTCATGGCCTCCTCTGGGCCAGCAGCCTCCTCAGGGCCTCCCTGCCTCCGTTTTCCCGTGCTGCTCTGACCAGGTGACTACCTCCCACTCAGGAAGAGCCTCCCCCTAAGGTGTGGGCGGGTTTAACCCTCCAGCTCTGGGTTGCCCGCTGCCTCTAAGCTTCCCCTGGCTTTCTCTCTGAGGGCGTTTACCACTCATTGCCTGGGCTTATGCTGGTCTGGTCTCATCCTCCCTCCTGGACAGTGACCATGCAAGGACAGGGACAATCTCTCCAGCACGAACTCCAGGCCTGGCGCCCAGGAGGCCCACAGTGAGTGCTGGTGGAGGACCGGGGTGCAGAGGCGTCACCCACTGACCTGAGCACACCACGCCAGCGTCCTCCTTGTGGCCACAGTAGTGCTCTCCAGGCCGCCCCGGGCAGTCCCACAGGTAGGCCTCGGTCCCGGAGCAGTTCACCTGGTCCCGGTGGATGGGGCCTCGGCCGGGGGCGAAGTGCAAGCCCGGCAGCCCTGGATGGCCCAGCCGCAGCTCAGCTGCTTGCACACCACGTGGGCGTCCTCCAGCTGCCTGCACACCACGTGGGCGTCCTCCAGGTCCCACGTGTCGTCACACAGAGACCCCCACTGGCCGTGCTCCAGCATCTCCACGCGGCCAGCGCAGGGGCTGCCACCATCCACCAGCCGCAGGTCGCGGTTCTCTGTGGGTGGGAGGGAGGGGTTTTGGGGGAGGGCACGGGAAGAGGGAGAAGAAGGGAGGGTGGTCGGGGGTAGGGAC